CGGGCTCATATATATATATATATTAGGATTCTACAGGGGGTATGTAGGGATTCCTATATATGGAGGCCGCGTGGCCTCAACTCGGAAGCGACCCAACGTGTGCCGCGCTGCGGCTGCGCTTGCTCTTCCTTCAGCTCGCCCAGGAAGCCTCAACTGAGTAGCCTTTTCTGGTGGTTGAACACAGTAGGGTTCTATTCTCTGTATGAGATACTGGACCCAAAAGGAGGAATATTGAGACCCTAGTATTATTGTTCTCGGACGTCAGTCGGTCATTGTAGTCAGGTCCCCAAATAAAAATACTGCTCAATAGTTCTAGGAGTTTATTGTGAAGGACTGCATGAGGTGTTGTTGGAACTGCTACTTGGCCCAACAGGTCGCTTGGTACTTTAGACTATCAAGGTTTGAGGACTGTTTTACAACAGACAAATGTGCTTGCCAGGCGTATCATTCCATGCCTTGCTTTGAGAAACTGGTTTAGGGAATTAGGATTTAGGGTTTAGGGCTCAAGGCTTGCGTCAAGCAACCAGAGAAGATCTCGTCCTTGGCAGAGACGAAGCCCACGAAGGCCTTCTCAGACATGTCGGACCCGTTTGGATTTAAGGCTTAGAGCATAATCCCCTCCCCCTACTTCCCTTGTTCGCTACAAAACCCAGCAAGTCTTTGGTCTTTGGCTTCAGCAGGGAATCCCGAATGGCAGATGAATCACGACTCGCCCTGGTCCAGCTTTCCACACACAGAAACTCTGAGTTGTTCCTGCTTGTTAAAGGGGAGTTTCCCAAAATTAGGGGTACCTTTTCGGGGGTCCGTAAAATGAGGATTACAATATGTTGGGGGCTGTATGGGGGTCCCCCTATTCCGGGAAACTACCAAATGCTGTTGCGAGAACAGGGTGGCATGCTGCACGCAGGGAAGCCTGTCAAGACCGTAGGCCTCATGAATTTTGAAACCTGCGGCGGGCGCTGGAGCCCGAGCATTATCATGCGGGGCCGCCAGAAGGCAGGGAAGAGACTACATGCTAATTAGCGTTGCTCATGAGGCCTTGTTGTTGCGCTCCTGCGCCTCCTGACCCAGGCGGAAAGGAGGAGGCTCCACCGAGGCAGATGAACACCCAGCATCCACAACAACACAGGGTTAGAGAGAGCGTGACCCATAGGAAGCTCCACATGACGGAGAGGGTCTTGTCCGCTTTGATCGCCAAGCTGCCGGGCTTCAAGAGGGCCACTGCGCAAGCCGCCAAGCGCTCGCCGGATTCTCCCCGTGATCGAACCCAACAGGGCCTGGTGGAGACGTTCCCCCACTGCTTGGCAATGTCCTCTACTTTCCAGACATCACCCGAATAGGGCCCATCAGAGTGGTACAGCTGGGCGGAAGCCGCAGGCACTCCAAACTCGTAGGCACAGCTGATCTGCCTGGCATCATCGGACCCACTGTCAAAGCTGCTGAAGGTACTTTCCGAAGGCACGGAGACAAGGGCCCAGGGCGTGTAGGTATAGGTGCGCCGGCGCCGTGAGTCGTGCGACAGGCGCCGGAGCTTTGCTGGCTCGCTGTCGCTGCTATCATCCTCCACATCCTCGGCGTCCGACTCATCAAGGGCATCATCATCTTCCGTGAAGTATTGACGTAAACGCCTGGCCCCTCCCTGGTCGAAGTCAAAGTTTGCTGCCTCGGAACACTCCTTCTTGTGAAGGCTCGAGGCATCATGTTGCTTCAAGATGTCCAAGATACCCTGCGGGGAGCACCAGCAATGTTTTATGTGCCAGGGAGCTGGGTCAATTTCAAAGGGCTTCCCATTTTGATCTGTGCCACACTTCCACGTGCCACTTGACACCACCTTGTAGGCCCTCTCGGCCACCGGAACTGTGTATACGAGGCCATCAAAGAGTTCTGGGGCATAGGTGATCTCCCCGTTGCATCGGCACATGTCTCCCTCCTTGGCACACCTGGATTCGCAGGGCATCATGACACATCTGACACGAGTCCAGGCACCCCTACGAGTTCAAGTACATTTGTTCATACATAAGGTGTTGGGTCTTAAGTGTAAGCACCAGCACCTGCCAGATGCCGTACATCCGCGTTCAAGTAATAGAGTAATCAAAATAACAGTAATAAGGATAATAGTAATAATAATAACAATAATAACAATAATGATAACAGTAATAATAATAATGTAATAGAGCAATAATAGTGTAACACATCCAGCACCAACAGGACACAGCCCTCATCTGGGCGATGACAGGTTAGGGTCTTCGAGATACAGGCTGCAGCTGGTGAATGGCTCGACAATTTTACCACAAGAATTTGAGGATTTCCCAAAATTAGGGGTACCTTTTTAGGGGTCCCAATAATGCGGATTATAGTGTTTTGGGGCCTATATTGGGGGGTCCCCTTATTTTGGGAAACTACTATTTGGTGGGCAAACTTATTCAACTAGTTCCTGCATCAGACTAAACGACTAAACGTCTCCGAGACCAAAAGCCTGCCATCATTGAAAAGGCGAGGCGCCAGTAGGTTCCTGGGCACACCGCAATCCTTGGCTGGACAAGCGGGATTAGGGTTTGTGGGGTCAGCCGGCCAGAATGCACATGGTCAGATGTTCTTTACACTTTGCACAAGTGCGGACCATGCAATCGCGAAAACGACCGCCAAAATGGTGTCTAAAAAGTGATGATAGGAAAATACTGCTGTGCGTAAAACGGGGCAAGGCGCTCGATTTCTTCGGTGTGTCTTTTCTTGCTTCCTCGCTGTCTGCCTGCGTGCTTTCAGCCCCCTCCCGAGGCGTCTTCGTTGCCAACTTCATGCCTGCGTTCCTTCCTCATCCTCTGCAGGTATCTCTTCCATCTCCTGGGACCTTGCCTAGCCTCCGACTCCCATCCAAGGAAGGTTGGAAAAATACACAAAACAGGTGGCGTCCCACCCAGCAGACAAAGGTCCTGCCCGTAGCTGGCCAGAACCAAAACGTCAAACTGGAACGAACCCCGTGAAGACCTTTGTCATTCCTTGGGCTAGGCCCCCACCCACCAATAGTGGTATACCAGGAATAGATATGCACCCTAATATAATTACCACCATCTCTTGTGCTCAGCATTAGTGGGTGGGGGACCAACCTATATAATTCCCAAGTACTTTGTGGGACCCTGGAGTTGGGTGATGTCGACAATATGTCCTTAATCAAACCTATATGACCCTCCCAGAGCCCTTTATATGTAGGTTGCTTAACCTATTGAGAACCCGGTCCTTTATAAAATGGCTACAGCTGGACCGTTGTCGTACTTTGTCACAAAATAGCCATTACGAAAGATGATCTCCCCTACACTTGTCCTTGTAGACCTACAGGATCCCTACAAATATGTGTTCAGATGACCTTTAGATCAAATTCCAAATGAGCTATAGTCTAAACTCCTAGTACCTCAATCGATAACCCCTATAATACTGCCTTATATAATCCTGTTGAAGGAGTGTAGACCCTGAACCCTAAACTCTAAACCCTTAACCCTCATACCCCCTTTAAGGAGTTTAGACTACAGCCCCACATGCGCTATAGTCTGAACTCCTAGTGTCCCCCTTAATATCCCTTATAGCAGTCCCCTATATAATCCCGCCATATAACCCCCCTTTAAGGA